AGTTGACCATCTCGTCTCTACTTCTTCGAGATTAGGCGGGATACTCATTGAGTACACGTTGTTTACGTACTCATACTATACTTCTGTGCATTTTTGTTGCACAGGTATATGCATCTCTAGCAGCCTACTGGGCGTAGCAGCGCGGAAGATTCTGGGACTAGGTGAGCTGCATTATTCGAGGCGACCCGCAGCTAGTGTAGTTCCTTTCAACATTTTTATATTTATTCCCTGTCCACTGTATTTCGATGTTGTATTTTAATTTCCTTATCAATAGATGCTCATGCACTTGTGATACCGGGTTCTGGGATGGTTTTCGAAACATGTGTACTAATAGTTATTACTTAATTTGAATTGAAGTAGAGATTGTTTTAATTATGAAAAATGGAAGGAGAAATCCTAGATTTTCAAAGGTAATTAAAAAAAAGAATTTAATTAATTTTTAGTTGGCTTGCCTGACAGCGGTGTCCGGCGCCACCACGACCCTTAGTGGATTTTGGGTCGTGACATATTATATAGCAAAGTTTTATACCCTATTTATTATAAATAAATTTTTTTTGAAGTATTATTTTCTATAGCTACCTTTTAGATTTTATAGCAAAATATGTATTTATGGTCACTTCCTATTGTTAAGCCATTAAATACACTATCTAATATTTTTCTCTCTCATCCTTTCAGTTTATTCTCTCCCAAAATCATCGATAATATCTTATTTCTCTCTCCACGATCTCTCTCTCTCCTCTCTCTAGGCGACATGGAGACCTAGCAGTTGCCATGGCCATTTTCAATATTTTTTGCTCCAAATTTCTCTCCCCAGCTCTCTCCTTTATCAGCGGCATTGTCTACCTAAATTTTTAATATTTTTTGCTCCAAAAAGTTGTGGTAAGTGTTAAAGATTTTGCATTTTTGACCGGTTAAAGCTTCTTCTTTTTCTCTTCAACAGTTTTTTTTTTTAAATATTCACCATTGTTAGGTTTTCTACATAATACCCACAAAAGCACTCAATTTCGAAAGGTCATCTTTCAATTTGCAAATCACTCAAGAGGAACCTGTATTTGCAGGTTCATCAGCAACCATTGAAGTCGAAAGGAGAACAAAAATACGCAATGACCCTAATTGCAGATGTATTTATGTGTATTTGAGTTCGAATACATTGATTTTTAGTTTGTACAGTGATTATCTCTTCTTGTATTTAGATGTATTTATATGTATTCGATAAGGCATATACTGATTTTTATTTTGTACAGTGACTTTACTATTGTATTTAGATGTATTTATATGTATTTGAGTTCATACAACAACATTTTTAAATACATTGTTAGTGCTATCATTTTGATGTTATTCATCAATTAGTTATGCATTCAATCTAACAGTATCCATTTATATTTTTAACCTAAATGTATCCATATGTATTTAAAATAACAATAAGTGAAATAAAGTAAAATACTCCCAATACAAATAGAAAATCAATGAATACAACCAATGAAATATACTCAATAAAGCAGTAATACCATGTATTAGGAATAAATAAAATATTGTGAATTTAAAAATAAACTTGAATACATTGAACACTACTGTTAGACACAACAGAATACAAACACTAGGTTTATTATGAAATTATGCAGGCAGTAGGTTACTATTTCAGGTTGTATCCGGCATAAATACATGATGTATTCATATACAGAAAATCGAATACAAACACTAGGTTTATTATGAACCTCGAACAATGTCAAGTAAAAAAAAACTCGAACTGTATCAGAAAAAAAAAAGGGACCAAAACTTTCAAGAATGCTCTATTTTTTTGTGTTTAGCGTATGATAAATCTTCTCATTAATTGGATTGATAATGTTGTGTGTTATAATTGATCTAGGTGAGTTATATTAGGAGTGTATCCCATCAAATTAGCAGCTTTCTGTTATTAAACAACCGGAGAGACCTATTATTACGTTGTATTGATGAATATATGGTATGAATATATGTGAATACAACGGCTGACAGCTGGACTGCCCTAAATTTTAGCCGATTTTTGCTACTGTATTCATGAATGCAATTGCTCGAATACATCAAATACATTACCATAACAACTTAAAAATAGCTACAAAAAGTAATTATGTATATAGTAACTATTGGAACTTAATAGCCATTAAACAATAGTCATTTTTGAAAATTCCCCTACCTTTTAAACTTTGGATTTGTTTACTTGTTACTTGTTAGGGTGGATATTTGATTATTTCAAGTTATAGTTGCGTTGGTGCATCTTCTTCCATTTCCTCGTCAACCATATTCCTCTAATATCCAACTTTATTTCTTGACTTTAGTAGCCTTCTGGTAGATGCATTTCTTAATTCCTTTTTCTTGGCACTCGAATTAAATTTTTAAAACGCTCTATCAAGGTTGCCAGTATAATCAGTGTATAAATTAAAAACTAAAATTCATGGAATTTGCTTTCTATCAAGCAATTAAGACCATGTTCATATAACCAACTCTAACCAGAGGCGGATCTAAGATTTAGATGTTGTGGGTGCCATATTACTTTGAACCTAGACACGTTCTTATTTATACAGTCTAAATACAGTATATTTATACTGTCCAAATAAAGTAAATATTTAGTTTGTTTGATCAGTTATGTGCTTTTGCTCGAATTATTTGTCTTTCGATTTATACAGACAAATCAATTAAACGAAAAATGTACTAATTATGACAACTTGACGCAATAAGGGGTTTCGTTCTAATGGGAGAGAAGATTTTCGGGAGAACTCTTTTTCTTACTTATATATATATATACAAAAAGTTGGTGGAATTTTTCATCCTTTAAAATAAATTTTATATTGATAAAATTATCATCAATTTTTTTTTAATATTTAGAGCTTTAAGATTAACTAAAAGTATAGTTATTAAATCTTTTTTTTATTTGAGTAGAAAGTCCTAAACTATAAGTTCCAATAAGCTTATATAAATAATTTCCTTATTTAAAACTATGTAACATAATTATAGTACCTTTTAAGGTAAATTTTCTTATATTTATATTAATTCTAAGAGAATATAAATTGATAATAACGATCATGAACTATCGTGATACTCCGACTAATAAATATGAAGGAATTCTTGATTACCGCAAATTGAAATTAAACAAAGAAAGGAAACAGTGAAGTGTAGTTTAGGTTACTTTCGTAATTGTAGTCAAATTGTTGTCTATCTGAAGCAACAAAGCCAAAACATCATAAAATTGTCACAAGGCCAATTTCGGGCATATAAATACATATATACATATAATTTCTACCGAAGCTTGCGTACCACCCCCTCGGGCCTTAATAGATCCGCCTCTAACTCTAACTAATTCTTTGTGGTATATGTATTCGGAGTATAAGTGACTACCAAACTTTAGTTTAATGACTTGTTAAAAAGAAACAATAAAAAAAAAATACTCACTCATTCAATCTTGATAATTACGTACTCTCTTCATATAATTTGCCACTACTAGAGAATGGAGTAAATGAAAATGCTCATTTCATTTAATTTCATTAATTTTTAAAATTAATTTAACTGTTTTACTATATGAATAAGAGTTTAAGTTCTATGAACTTGCGAGTAATAACAACAACATACCCAGTGTATTTTCACAAGTGGAGTCTGGGGAATAGAATGTACGCAGACCTTACTCCTGTCTCTAAAAGGCAGAAAGACTGTTTCCGGAAGACCCTCGGCTCAGGAAGGGGAGAGGGGACGGGCAAGAATAAGCAAACCGATCTGACAACCAAACCAAAAAATACAAACCTAGCAAAAGGTAATGCAATTAGAATACCAAGACACAAGACAACAACAAGTAGTAACAGGAGACTAGGGGTACAAATACAAAAAAATAAAAATACGGAAGGCACCAAGTGGTGTATCAAAGCTACTGCTACAAACAAGGACAACACTCGACCATCTAACCCTTTACCTTAATTCTCAACCTCCACACCATCTTATCCATGGTCATGGCCTCAGTGAGCTGGAGCAACGCCATATCTTGTCTAATCACCTCTTCCCAATACTTCTTCGATCTGCCTCTACCTCTCCGTCGACCCTTCCATACCAGCCTCTCACGCCTCCTTACCGGAGCATCAGAGCCCCTCCTCTTCACATGCCCGAACCATATAAGTCTTGCCTCCCGCATCTTGTCCTGCATATGGGCCACACCCACCTTGTCCCTAATAACTTCATTTCTAATTTATCTAACCTGGTAGACCTGCACATCCACCTCAACATCTTTATCTCCGCTACCTTCATCTTCTGGACATAGCATGTCTTGATTGGCCAATACTCCGACCCATACAGGATAGTCGGTCTGACCACTGCTCTATAGAACTTACCTTTAAGTTTTGGTGATACATTCTTATCACACAAAACACCGGAAGCGAGCCTCCATTTCATCTGCCCCGCCCCAATATGGAGTGTGACATCCTCATCAATCTCTCCATTCCCTTATATAATAGACCCAAGGTACGTACTTGAAACTTTCTCTCTTAGAAATGCCTTGTGACTCAAGCCTCACGTCTTCGTCCTCTTCCTAAGTCGCGCCACTAAACTTGCACTCTACATATGCTGTTTTGGTCCTGCTCAACTTGAAACTTTTAGACTCCAAAGTCTTTCTCCAAACCTCTAACCTCTCATTAACACCACAACACGTCTCGTCAACGAGTAACATATATTTACGCAACTAGGTTAATTTAAAGGTAAGTATAGGTAAATCAATGATAGGCATTAATTGATGAATCGGTAAAAATGATAAACAACCGGTTATAACAAGTTAAAATACGAGTAAAAGAATCTATACACTATTATTATTTATAACTTAAATCATGTTAGTAATAAAGTAATAGTATTAATAATAAACGAATAACGCTTAATAAAATTTCACCTGAAAAATAAAATAAATTGTCCAGATAAGCTTAAATATTTTATTTAGAATAAAATGTGTCAAATATTTTGGGACTTTCAAGAAAAAATATATACACTAGTAAGGTGCAAGTTGGGCAGCAAAAAGGTATAGGTGCGGAGCCAGGGAATGAAATTCAAAAATTATGGCGATGGAAGTAGAAACCCAAACTCAATCTCAATTAGGGTTTCCGTTCTGGAGCCCAATTCGTCGACGGTTTCGTCCTGATGATCCCTTCTTCACAGCCGGTAACATTCAAAGAGAGCTTTTTGCTAAGCAGGTTCCTTCTTCTGTTCTCTCTCCTGTACATAATTTGAACTTGCGATCTCTCTAGTTTTACTATCTTTTTGTTCATTTCTTAGCTTGCATTGGATTTGACCGAAGAAGAGAAGCAGCTGGTTCAAAATATCACCGATGAGGAAAGCAGGTGTCACTATTCAAGCTGCTCCCTTATTTATCAGATTTATTTGCTTTATTTAAACTGTTACTATTTTAAGATATTTAGATTCTGATAAGTGAACCATCAAAGGCAGTGTCGTCCAACTATAATGTTGAATAAGACTTTAACAGAATTCAGGATCATGTTCATAAGCAAAATGAGAGTCCTTTTTTTATTGAGATTGAGGGAAATACACTTTTATATTTTCTCGTTGAGTGAAAAAAAAATTATGCTTCAAATGTTTTCTATAGTCTCAAGTACAAAAGAGAAGTAGGAGTATTTCGGATATATACGTTAGGATGTGTTGCAAAATTCTTATTAGAAGAAGCTTGTCAATATTTTGTTGTTGTAATGTTGAGTTTGATGTTGGATCCTTGCTTGTTGATTTAGAATAGGTGAGATGTTGATTTCTATTGTTTAAATATACCTTTTAATGCACAAACCTGCGAAGGTGTCGTAATAATCAGGAATTTAGCCTGAGTATGCTTTGTTGAATATTGTTAGCTTTTTTATTTTCTTATTTAACATTGTAACATATGCAGCAGAAGGGAATAGAATATGTAGGGAAAGGTTGAGCGGTGTGCCTGGACAAGAAAATTTAGGCGCACAAGCAGAAGAGAGATGGTGAACATAATCGAATGGGGAGAAAAAAATACCAAAACAGTATGTTACTTAGTAACAAGTTATTGTGAATTCTCAAATGGAGATGAGCATAGGGAAGAAACAGTTATCTCTGTTTGTCAGTTCTTTGGTTACCCCAAATTGAGGATGTAGAAGTAAGAGATGGATTTTGTATCTTTGTGTCTAGGTACTTAGAGGAGCTGAGATAACTAACAAGAAACTAGGTGAGGCGGCTAACTTCACCTACAACTCAGGATTTTGATTTACAGGAAGCTTACCGCAGGTTGAGTAATGACGTAGTTAGTGCTCACTGTCACTATATCACTTTTTCATATCTTCTTGGCCCTGCTCAATGTTATAGTGCCCACTTATACCTACATCTACTGCTGCTATTTTTTTTCCTTATTATAAAATTTCAAGATCCTAATTATGTATTCTTTAACTTGATAATTATTTTTTAAGAAAGTAAAGCCTAGCTTTGTAATTATTTATCATCCTTGAGGTGATTTTGGTCTTATTCTAGTATGATGTTTTAAAATTGGGAAATTGGTTAATACATCACTAACGTCGGATCGAAATTGGTTAAATGCTTGACAGCAATGTCTTCTGTCCAATCGTTGGTTGTGGTGCACGGATGAGGTCCCTGGATGACTTTGAACACCACTATGCTACGCGACATACTGCATCCTGCTCTGTCTGCTCTCGAGTTTACCCAACATCACGCCTGCTCAGCATACATGTATCAGAGGCACATGATTCTTTTTTTCAGGCAAAAGTAGCTCGTGGATTTCCGATGGTAATGTTTTCTCTCAATTAGCTGATTCCCTAGGATGTCTCGTAGATTGCATATCCTTTGTGTAGTGCCTGTATAGGAAAAAGGCTGAACATGTCTGTGCAGGCAGAAATGCAAAGAGTTTACATGCATATTTTCGGTTAATGGGGATTTTTACATAATACATCCTGAATTTGAATCATTTTGCACTTCCCGTCCCATGGCTCTCTCAAAGAGATGGAAGTTTTTCATGTTTGCATATCTTTCCAAATAGAAGTTGCGTGAAACCGTTTTGTGGAAACAGCTCTTTGCTCGTGGTGTGTCTTGTATATATGAAGTCTGGATGAACTTTTGTGTGGAGACTGCTCAAAGAGAGTTAAGAGTAACACTATATTTGTTTTGATCTTGTTTGAAATGTCTATATGTAGCTATTTATTGAGAATTTTGTTGTTCTGTAGTATGAATGCCTGGTGGAAGGATGTGATGTCAAGTTGAAGAGCTACAAAAGCAGGCAGCAACATCTAGTTGACAAGCATAAATTTCCAGCAACTTATGAGTTCTTCAGAAAAGCTCGTCCATCAAAGAAACAGAGGCAGAAAATCCACCATAAACAAGCATCGCGCAAGACTCGGGAAACATCAAGTGCAATGCAAGTCGAGGATGAAACTATGGACAATCTCGTTTCAGCAGTATCAAAATTAACCACTTCAGACTCTCCTTCAGCAATCAGCTTTGGCCGTAGTAGGGCTCGAGGATTGTCATTTGTGCCTCGTGCTGTAAATCGGCAGATAGGACCAGTCACCTCAACAGGTGGAACGCAAAAGTAGCAGCCTGCCAATGGAACATACAATCACTGGAAGTTATCAGACCTGTATTACAAAAGAGAATTTGAAGCTGATCTTTTGAGCATCTGCCTGCCACTGAAATTGGGTACAATGGAATTTCATGCCGGTACTGACATGTTAACCAATGCTCATTATTTCTTGCTCCAAGTGTCGTATTTTTGTCTATCCAAAGCTTGTATAAACCTCTTGCCAGAAAGATGGAAGAGATAGCTCTCACATATGCGTATGCAGAAAGTAGTACGCTTTGGAGGGCAGAATTTTTCTGGAAAAAACAAATGAGCTCGATCCAAACTTGTGGAAAATTTAGTTGGCTGGTTTATTGCTTTAAAAAGTTAGGGGTTTTGACACAGTTACCCACAAAAATAAAACTATTTACCCTTGTCTACTCATTTGTTTTCCTACCCATAAACTAATTACATTTCCTACCCATAGTAGGTTTTGTGGGGAATTTTTTCTTTATTCTCCAATTCTTTTTTATTTCTATGCTTCTTTTCTTTTCTTTTTTCTTTTCTCCTTTTTTTTTCTCATTTTCTTCTTATTTTTTTTCTTTTTTCCTTTTCTAATTTTATTTAACTTCTATTTTTTCATATTCTTTTTCTCTTCATAATCTAATTTCATTATTATTTTCACTATTTTTTATTATTCTTTTTTTAAAAATTATTACTAAAGAAAAATCAAATTGTGTACCAATTAAATTTAGTTAATACAACCAAAAAAATATTAACTAACATATGATACTAGTATAGTATATAGCTATACCAACAGGGTATACAATTGTACGCAATGAGTTAAAAAAAATTCAATTATTAAACTAAGATAATATCAATTGTCAATAAAAAATTTAAAAATTCTAAAAGGATCTAATTGTAAGAGTATACCGTTACATCATATAGCATACTATAACTTTTTTTTTTTGCATTGTCAATTTGCCCCTCACTTAGGGTAAAAGCTTAAAACAAATTAAAAGGGAAAAGGCAAGTGAATTTACGGGTAATAAGTATACTATTATAGTATATTGTATACTATTACAACATATTGTTACAGTATCTTGCATATTATTGCAGTATATCATAACAATATATTGTATACTATAATAATATAATGTTGCAGTATTACTATATACTCCTATAGTATATTAGTATACTGTAGCGGTATACTGTTTTGTAAAGTATAATAGTGTACTGTTGCAGTATAGCTATATACTCCTACAACATATTGTATACCGTAGCGGTATACTGTAGCTGTGTTCTTCTTCGATTTTCAACTGAAAATTTCGATCTCAATCACCTCAAATCAGGTCCTAATGCTATCAAATTTCAGTATTAACTTTCAGAAGGTACTATAAGCAATATTGAACAGCACCCACTTTGAATCAAACAAGAAATCTTCAAAAATAAAATTGAGCTTCAAGCCTAACAATGGTGGATATTCAATCTTGGGAGTGAACTTTTCTCTTCTAAAATTAATCTTGTCGATTTGCCATATTCCTGAATGGAATTGATGTGTTGTTGTGTCTGTTTGTATGTTTCTTCAAAATCTTTTTTCACTTTTTCTACTTCCTCCACCACCTCGTCCATTTGGGGGTTTTGCAGCGTTGAGTCCTAGCTCGTTTAGCAAAGAAAATTTTGGGAAAAGAAACGGCGAAGAAAACGAAAGATCCAAAAGAATTCGGGCAGATATATAGGAAGTGAAACTAGCGGGTAAATAGTTTGGGGAGTATGGGTAGGAGTAGTAAATAGTTTGGGTCTGGGCATTAAAAGGTAAATAGTTTGGAATTAATGAGTATAAAGTGAGATTTTTTCAAAAAATAATGCAAGGCTCAGAGTAGTGCCCTTTGCCCCTTTGTTAATGGAACAAGCGAATCTGAGTCAACCCAGCTAATTTTATTTAAATTGTTCGTTGGACGCTTCACAGTCCTCCCAATTGACTAGCTTTCTTTGGGCCAAAATCATATGCAGCCCCCTAAACTTGTCTGGATTTTCCTCTCAGACACTTATCTAAGCTATGTTTCAATTGAACACTTATACTACTCAAAATTGTTCCTATTAAACACTTTTGCTGACATGGCATGGTGTATGTAATACACCTAAAAGCAGTGCGTGAAGGGCTTATATCTATCCAATTTTTTTTTAAAATCTCTTCTTCTCCATTCTCTCTTGGCCACCGGTTCCTCCACCATCAACCACCATCTTGCCACCGGACGCCACCACCACTGCAATAATTATTTTCTTTATCTCTTTCAGATCTGGAAACCATCACCACAATCATCCCCTTCTTTTTCTTTAAACCCAACAACACCCGCTACATTGCTATCTTATTTGGCGGAAAAAATAGAGATCGCCACCACTCTCTTTCTTCTCCCTCCCTCCCTCTTTTCTACCAGAAAAATTAATACAACCACAAAAATTAGAACTAAAAAACTAAAAAACCTGAGGTGTAGGGGGGCGGCAGCGGCTGGAGGGGGTGGCGACGGCGGGTAACTGGTAGATTCTGTTAGGTAAGAGATTTACAATTTACAACCAACAAAAATTAGACTACAACAACAAAATAGTTAGCTCTAAAAATCAAAAACAAACGCGCGAAATAGAAAAGGGAGGTGGGATGATGACTGGTTTGTTTGGTAAGAAGAAGAAAGGGAGATGGAGGGTTGGGTAGGTGTGGGGATGGGGTTCAGAAAATAGTTCTTCTTTTTTTTCTTTACAATTTATCTCTTAATCTTTATTTTGTACCCAAATGCCACATGTCTTCTGTTAATTCGTCACTTTGCCACATCACCGGCGAGTGTATTACACTCTTCCTATTTTTCTGCTAGTTGTCAAAAAAGTATTTAATAGGAACAATTTTGAGTAGTATAAGTGTTCAATTGAAACGTAGCTTAGATAAGGTGTCTAAGAGAAAAATCCGGACAAATTTAGGGGGCCGCATATGATTTTGGCCCTTTCTTTGACAATGACAACACAAAAAATACTACAATCCTTTTAGGAATGAAATTTTATTTCTACAAGGAAACAAAGTTATAAATAGAATTACTAGATCGACAAAGGGCCAAATATACCCTCTACTTTCAAATATTGTTTACCTGTACCCTTCGTTATATTATTGGGGTATCTATACCCCTACCGTCATACTTTGGAACAAAAATACTCCTATTTTGGATGGAGTGCCACATGGCAGCACCAGATTAAAATGATCCAATTCTTTTTTTTTACCCAACCCATTTTACAAAAAACCCACAACTCAAACCATATTTTCATTTTTCAGTTTTTTTAAAGAATTTTCTTTTTGTAAACTTAAAAAAAAATTGCAAAATATTTTCATTTTTTTTAGACTGAGTAGAAACTGAAAAGATTTTGCAAAAAAAATTGTAAAAACTGAAAAAAATCATTTTTTAACAAAATATTTTTTGTAAAAACTGAATTTTTTTTTCCAGTTTTTAACAAAATATTTTCGTTTTTTAAAAACTGAAAAATATATTTAAAACAAAATATTTTCGGTTTTGAAAAATATTTTTTTTTATTTTTTTCAGTTTTTTTAAAGATTTTCTTTTTTTAAAAACTGAAAAAACAAATTTGTATAAACTGAATTTTTTTTTAATTATTATCTGTACAAAACAGAAAAAAAATATTTTTTCGTTTTTGGAAAAATATTTTCGTTTTTTTAAAAACTGAAAATAATTTTCAACAAAAATATTTTCGTTTTTGAAAATAATATTTTTTTCATTTTATTCCAGATTTTTTAAAAGAATTTTGTTTTGTAAAAACTGGAAAAACAAATTTGTAAAAACAGAAAAAAAAAATATTTTTTTTAACAAAATATTTTTTTTTTAAAAACTAAATTTTTTTTAAAAAAAAAACTGGAAACAAAATGAAAATAGGGGTCGGGTTGTGGGTTTTTTTAAAAACGGGTCGGGTAAAAAAAAGGAAATGAGTCGTTTTAATCTGGTGTTGCCACGTGGCACTTCATTCAAAATAGGGGTATTTTTGTTTTAAAGTATGACAATAGGGGTATAGATAACCCAATAGTATGACGGTAGGGGTATAGATAGCCCAATAGTATAACGAGGGGTACAGGTAAACAATATTTGAAAGCAAGGGGTATATTTAGCCTTTTTCCGTTACTAGATCTAATTTCCTTTTCAGTCTTTGTTCTTCGTTTTGCGTAAATCTTCCTACAGAGTTTAACGTCTTCAACTAGAATATATATTCGTGCTTAATATAATTATATATGCTTTTTGAAATTACTTAACTGTAATAGAATTTCGACTGCATCCTCATCATCCGGCACAATGTTCCTCTCTAACTGTTATTCCGATGTCCCAAACCAAAAACAAAGAAAAAAGAAACAAAAAGAGTAGAGAGGAATATTCTACAAGTGCGGGAAAAATACTTACATCTACCAAGCGACGTTTTAATTGTTGTGTGATTAGTTATAATTCTCTAACAATTAAGAGGTTTTAAGGAAGTGATTTATTTTGGTATCACATATATGATGTTTAGAACTTGATACAGTACTTTGGTAGAATTAACCTTGCTATGGAACCACAAGAGAATCAATAGTACTTCCCATTTAGAAAGGCCACAAGTGGAATCTATTTACGGATTAGAAAGATTGGCTCTTTGTTGTCTAGACTCTAGTAGGCAATGTTTGGCATTCATACTTGGAGCATTTCATTGGTTTGGTTTCCTACCAGGGTTTTTCGTGGTTTATTCATTTAATATTTCAAATGAAAAGTACAGAGAGATACCATGGCGACGATGTTCTTTCCCCCCATATCCACGTGCAACGTTGATGTGGGTGTATTAGTATTGGAAGACGATGTGCTTAGTGTTTTTTATAACAACGAGGCAACTTTAGTTTATGGGTAATAGAAAACTATAGTGTCATAGAATCTTGGACAAAATTGCTCAATATACCAAGTAATGGGTTTCATTTTGTCATGCCCATATATAGGTTTTCCGATGATGAAATGCTACTTCGCTACAAGATTGGATGGAAAGTCTTGTATATAGGATATCCGATGGATCATTTGGATTAAGCAATCGGATATTGTCCAACTTTTAGCTTTACGTTTGTTTTAAGAATTTTTTGACTTTTTAAAGCACTTTTTGCAACTTAAAAGTTGTTTGCCCAGGTTAAAAGTCAATCCAAACACTTTTTAGTATTACTCAATATAAAAGCGGATCATTTTACGAACTACGTTCTCGGATCTAATCTACGTGGACCTATTTGACCTAATATAAAATTTAAGAAAGAACGAACACTTTTATAACTAGTGGTCCTAAATAAGTTATAACATTTATATAGCTATAATTATTTTGAAACTTGCGTTAAACATGCCGGAGTTTTTGTGTAGCTATAAAAGCTTTTCATTGAAGATAGAATTGG